ACTCACCGTGCGCTCACACACGCAGCGTGCATGCTTTATCCCAGCGCCGACCAAAACCGAAACCAACAAGACTGAGACACTGGGAATGAAACACCACGCTGCTGACAGACGAAAACACAAACACGAGTACAAGAGCGCACGCGTCTGAGGGACACAGAGCGCGCGCGCGCGCGGCCGCATCAAGCAGGAGCGCTCACACTCTGCATACACCCACGACGGCGCGCGCGCACACAGAGACAGAAACAGGACCAGACATGGGTAGTGTCCGAGTTCTGCCACCAAAACAAGAATTTACAAGACCAGAGTGGCAGAACCCTGACAGCAACAGCAGCAAGTGCAGGATACAGGTATAGGTTATAAAGTGCAGTTATAGAAAAACTCTGGTGATATTTACACATGGATGTACTATCAACATTATATACAGGTTGCATTAGCTATGAACAGAGTTTACAGTAGAGGAATATATATACAGGTTGCTATTAATAATAAAAATAATGAATATGTGCAAATTTTAAAAGTGCAAATGTTAAACAGTGCAGTGATTGTGAGGAGTTTACGTTAGAAGAGAGTGGGGGTGTATGGGCTATATGCCGAAGCATGCTAATAGGACTTTTAATTTACCAGTAACCTGGGTTAAGCGCTTCCTGTGAACTCTTTGCCTTTGCAAAAACTGCGCGTTTAGAGTCTGTTTTCTTTAAAAATCAGCGATCTCCACTGGCTGTGATAACCGATTTAAAGTGAGTCTCAGATTGTACAAGAAGTGCTGCATTACATTACATTTCCCCCCGCCATGTCTTTATAATACGAGCATTTATTTTACCCCAGTATATTCAATGGAGCTTCTGCGCTAGCCTGATTCTGACGGGTGCGTGTGAGTAAACGGCTTTTTGTCTTATTTTGCGCTTGAGCAACTAAATGAATGCCAAAGCCTGTTTAACTGACTGTATTTTAACTACATTACAACATCGATGCTGTAAAAGGTATTGTTTAAAATGGAAAAAACTTACAATAACAGCTCACCGGAAGTGTATGAGCATGGGAACAGCACTAGCGTATACAGCATATACCCTATTGGGGGGGCTAAAGAGTCAGTGAGAGGAGGGAGACAGCTCTGGGGAAAAAGCTGTTTCTCAGGCCCCGTTTACACTAATGTGTTTTACTTTGAAAACGCTCAAGTTTTGCGACGGTTACGCCATCCGTCCACACTTCTCCGGAGTTCTCGAGCGACAAAAACAAAGCGTTTTGGAAACACTGGAGAGGCCGTGTTCATTCTGAAGCGCTGCTGCTGCGTCTCAGTGTGGATGAGGGAAAACGGAGACATCTGAAAACAGAGGCGGGGCTGCTGAGATCCGCTAGCTGATTGGGGCTTTTGTGTCATTCTGTATCCTCCCCTTATTGGTCAAGCCCCTATCACATGACTATAACACATGGCTTTAACGCTACCGGGAGACAGCAGACCAGCCTTCACTGTAAACAACAACATGGACACAGAAATGGGAGCGTTGTTTGCACTATTGTCTGTTTTAGGCGCCATTGAGCAGTTATTCATTCGTTTAGTAACAACTCGACCTCGTTGTCTCTCCACAAAAATACCTCTCCTGCTTTCTTTGCCATCGTGTTCATTGTTCAACCGGCGTTTGTTGACTAACAATAACCAAATGCCGAGTGAGACACATGATTCTCGTGCATGACCAGAGTGCGCGAATGGTCACGTGATATACGTTTTTGGTGGCGTAGTGTGGACGGAGATATGTTCAGGACCGCTTGGTGAAACACTAGTGTGGACGCGGATCATTTTTGATCTAAAAAAAACTAAACACACTACTGTAAACGGGGCCTGAGTCTACTAGTTTTTGTCCGGGGGAGCCTGAAGCGTCTGCCGGAAGGCAGGAGAGAAAACAGTCTGTGCGCAGGGTGAGGGGTGTCCTCCAGAATACTGCGTGCTCTGTGCAGACAGTGTTTTCTCTGGATGTCCTCTATGGCTGGCAGTGTGGTTCCTGTGATGCGCTGGGCAGTTTTCCCCACCCGCTGCAGTGCCTTACGCTCAGCAACAGAGCAGTTTCCATACCAGACAGTGACGCAGCTGGTCAGAATGCTCTCTATTGTGCAGCCGTGGAAGTTCACCAAGACGGCTGATGAAAGCTGGGTTTTTTTAAATTGCCTTAAGAAGAATAGGCGCTGGTGAGCCTTCTTGACCAGGCTGAAGGTGTTGGTGATCCAGGAGAGGTCCTTTGAGAAGTGGGTCCCCAGGAACTTGAAGGATGAAACAGGCGCAACCATCCCATTGATGTGTTTGGGATCATGTGAGCCTGTTCGTCCCTTCCTGAAGTCCACAATGAGCTCCTTGGTCTTGTTGGTGTAAAGGAGCAGATTAAAGTTAATGCTACGGTAGCTTAGGACACGTTCACAAACTGTGTGTGAGAGGATTACAAATCACTGGACTCAATTAGAAAGACAAAATGTCCAAACACTGCTCTGTGTGTGCAATAATAGACAGTCTGCAAGTGTGGAGAAGACCAGAAGACAAGTCTGTCATCAGTTGTGTGTGTGTGTGTGTGTGTGTGTGTGTGTGTGTGTGTGTGTGTGTGTGTGTGTGTGTGTGTGTGTGTGTGTGTGTGTGTGTGTGTGTGAGTTGTGTGTTATAGGTGTTCAGTGTTCTCTGTATGGAGTGTGGAAACAGTGACGGCTCTTCAGAAGGTTTCTCCCACATTCAGACGTCATCAGGCCTGTGCCATCACAACACTCGCTTTATAAGCATGACTGCATCGCTAGAACATCCCATACACTTCCTCACACACACACACACACACACACACATTTTCAAAATACTTAATTCTCTGTGATTTCTGAGCCGTTTTTCTCATGGAGACTAGACAAGCGTCCCCATAAGGTCAACATTTACTGGTACTGCTATACGTATGGTGACGTTTGGTCCCCACAATGTGATTAATACACACAGACA